GTTCATTTTCAGCATATGGGGACCATTAGCAATATTTGAACCTGGACATAAGGCTTAACATGTTAAATCACTTTAGAACGTTGCATCTGTTTTTTTACCCTGGTGTTAACACCTGGATCAGTTTAGCACTAGTGCAGAAGTTTAGGAATAAATAGTTGTTAATTTTAAAAACATCTGGGATTTTTTTGTGTGTATATGCACGTATATGTGCATGTGTGAACTGCTGAATCTCTGGCATTTTTGAGTTTGCTGAAAAAAATCTTACTGAAGTGTGCTCGAGGTGTGTACTGAGCTAGGCAAGCAAGTGCTTATGGCAGGAGGCAGAAGGATTCTTTCAAGTGGATTAGAAATTATGATTTTGCCTTTATGACTTTTGTCTTTCTTCAGACTTTCTGAAGAACTGATAGCTGACTCTGATTCCTTTTTTTCCTCTACTCTCAAACCCATCCATTTGTTCTACACTGAGTAAGAAGATATCCTGCTCTCCAGGGATGTGTGAAATGGGCAGGCATTAAAAATTGAAGAAAGCCAAGTTCCCTGACTGAGTCTGCAACCCTTATCTGAGGCTGCTTGAAAGTAAAAATGCCAGTTATGTTGGAGCTTTGAAAAATTACTTTCCCTGGTGACCCGCTGCCTTTTAGCGAGAGCAGAGTTTACTGCTCTGTTTTGAGAGTGATGAGTGCAGTTGTAGAGTTTCTCTTGTTATGCCCATTAGCGAGATTGGAGTAATCTGCAGGATGTAACCTGAAGGTAAACCGTGACTGAAGGAGAAGACAAGGCTAATAAGGCGTTTTGTAGTTTTCCTTATCCCAGAGTCTTTCCCGGAGCCAGCAATTAATATTATTTTCTATCTGTGGAGAGCCAGGGTGGCTGCCAGCGCAGCAGGCTGTGTAAGAGTCACATCAGTGCTACCTGCCAGGCCGTGAGCAGGGACTGCCTTCAAACTTGCTGTTGAAATTGGCCACTGAGCATCAATGCTGCAGCAGATAACTCACAGCTTGTTAATTTAGTAATGAAAGGAAAGCAAGGTCTTGCCCCAGGCAGGAGCAGGGCAGCTGGGGGGCAGCCCCAGCCCCGGCACCTCCCTGTGGAGGGTGCTGAGGCCGGGCCATGGCCCAGGGGTGGGCCCATGGCCGGGCTGTGGGGAGCTGCAGACCCGCCCTGCTGCCGCCTCGCTGGGGCAGGGGCTGATGGGGGTCTTGGGGCCGTGGGCGGGGGGCAATGGCTGTCCAGGCTTATTTTAGTGCCCTCAGGGCCCTGAAATGAGCGATTTAGTACTATTTATTTTATTCTTTTATTTCATTAGATACAGAGCTTCAATTTCTCTCCCCTTCACAGAGAAACATTTCACTTCATGTTGTTCAGACAGCCAGGCTGGGGATGCAGATGGGCACAGCCCTGGCTGGTTGTCTCTGGGCTGGACTCAGCCCACGGACTGTTCTGCCTGACCTGCAGTCATGGTGTCCACGGTTATCCGTAGTATTACTGAGGCCTTGTGCGCTTTTACTTTTGGAGGGCAAAATGGCACAGAGCTGCCTGGCTCAAGTATCTCAGATGCTCATATTCCTTCATCCTCCTCTGCAGTCAAGTCTAATGTTGGCCAAGTGTGTTTTTCCTTAACATTTTATAATGCGAAACGGTAGTTTAACAAGCAACCTATGGGATACTTGCTTCTTTGCTGTAAGAAATACAGCTTTGCTCTTGTATTTGACTAACATCTCAAAGCATTAGCTAGACTTTTTTTTTTTTTTTTTAAATTTTTATTTTATTATTATTCCCTTTTCCTTTCAAATATTTAGCAAAGAAATAACCATATGAAGAGAACTTTTAACTGTATTTAAACCTGACCGAGCCACTCAGTAAGCTGGAACCTGGCAGTTTCTGTATTTTTCATGCTAACTGGCAGGTGCTAGAATCTGTTGCTTTGACATGCATAAGAAACTAGGAGCATTTCAGAGTTACCTGCTGAAATCTGTACCCAAATACAGGGTGATCAATACTGTATCTTCAAGGCTTTATTTTGATTTTTTTGTTGTTGTTGTTTGTTTTGTTGAGGTTTTTTTTTTTCCTATTTTTTAATATGAAGAGGACAACAGAAAAGAATAACAGTTGCATCAAATTTGTTGCTAAGGCTGTGAATAAAATTTGACTGAATTAATACCTTCAGAATGTACAATAGGTCTCTTCATGATTTAGAGAAAAAACAGTTTACTTTTGATGGGGAATAGTCCAATATTAGTATGTGCTGCATGAAAATGCTTAGAGGGAGAGTGCTGGTCTCCTCGCAACTGTAGCAGTAGTACTGTGGAGGTGTACTGATAGCTGCAGTTCCATTTGTGGGTTTTTTTTTTAAGTTGTTGCATGGTTTCAAGTATTGGAAATGCCCATATTTGCAAAAGATGTAATAAAAGTTACTATTTCCTGGGAACGACCTGTGCCCCAGCTAGGCTCTTTGTAGCAGAAGGATCTGCCTCAGGGGAGGGCAGTTGTGCTGGCAATATTACTGCCACTTATTTTCTTAGTATTTCCCCTAGAAAAAAACACTTTTTTGCAGTTCGAGATTTCAGCTCTAAATCCTGACATCTGATAGCCATTCTTAGAGTTTGGGAGTCTGTAATCTAACATATTATGTTTTTCTTAGAGAAAGGATTATTTTTAGCCTAACACCTGCTTTATTCTTGCTGGATTCCTAGTTTTCTGATAGTGGTTCTGAGAGTGATACTACAAACTGAAATCACAAACAGAGGAATTATATTTCAGGAAAGGACTACATGGAAGGACAAGATAAATAATGCGAAAACAAAGATTTTGTTTTGTTCCAATGTTCTTTTGTGACTGGACTAAAATGAGAAAAATGTGTAGGGGATTGGGAAAACAAATACAAGCAACCTGATCTACTGCATAAGCAGAAGTCAGACAAAATTTTCTAGCGTTCTAGAAAGCATCATCAGATCTTTAAAGGATGTAATGTGACCTCTCCGTAACCTCCATATGCTCAGAGACAAAAGGACATACTGAAAGGAAGCATGTCTGAAAGCATTACAGCAGTGTTCTCTGGACAATGGAAATGCTGAGCTGGGTGGTATTTAGAGTATTTGCATGGAGATTCTGTGGCACAGTATATCAGCATATGAGCATTTTTCTTGACAACATTCCTGAAAAAAATACCATACAAAAAAAAAAAGGGGGG